TATTAGGATCAATTCTCACGCAGAAGATAATGCGCTAAAAACCCTACTGAAAAGGAAAAAATAAATTTTAAACCAAAACTTTCAATACAAAAATTTTACTTGTTTTATCCATAACCGAACATTTGTTTGTGTATTTATTCATTTGTCGGTACGGTCAATTAAAATTTCCTCACCTAATTAGGAAACAAAACAAACAGAGTTGATCACAAATTGATCCAGATTTCTATCAGCATCACATCGATGTTGAATTTTCTTCTTTATCCAAATAATGTAAAATAATAAATGAAATCTTGACCGGCGATCACTGAAACGCAGCTAGCAACTGTATACTCGAAAAAGGAATGTTGCCACTTTTTCTCATTAAATCATGTTCGAATCGTGGAAATTTTGGAAAATCACAGGGTTGCTTTTAGCATTTACATTCTTAATGCAAAAATGGAGTTGCATTTAAGTGACGAATTGTGTGTGGATAAATGTACATTTAGGCTATCTGCACACTTGTCGTCCAATCATAGTTGCGTTATCGTCTCGCCCTGAAGTTTTGGGCCGAGCACATGCATTTCAAAGGAGATCTGCACACTTGTCGTTATCGGCAAATCGTAGAAGATGCAGAAACGGATAAGAACGGTACTGTCGTTTGGTAATCGTTGTGCACGCATTGTTTGTTTACATTTTATGGAGAAAAATTTGTGAAAAAGTTAATATTTGCATTAAAATTGCATAAAAATTAGTGTCTTTGGCTAAAATCTGTCGACATAATTAAAAAGTGGATAATTGCAATAAAATTCAACAAATGTGAGTGTTTTAACTATAAAACATGTCCAAATTATAAAAAGTCTCTGTGTGCATGCACAAAATACATTTCAGGAAAAGAAAATAAGCGATATTACTGAAAAGTTATGTCTAGAATTGTTACAGCACAGTCCATATTTTAAAAATTGCAGGTTTTTGTAAATATTTCGCGAAAATATCAACCAGAAAAACAGAAAATACCTGCTCCTAGTAAATTTTTAGGCGCCAAATGAATTGAAATATCACGACCGAGTGTGCGAAAATGTAGTCGCCATGTAATCGTTGTATCATGTTTGTGACGATGACCTAACTATGATTGGACGACCAATGTGCAGAAAGCCTTAGGGCCGGTTACTCAATGTCTGGTTAACAC